ATCAAAATATAAGACAGTGATTCAGAATTCTCTGCTGTGTCTGGTTATACAGGCTTGTGCTCCTAGCACTTGGAAGGCTAAGGCAGGAAGACAGCAAGTTCAAGTCTTGCTTGAACTACAGAAAGAACACAAGGCTCTCCTGGGCAACTCTATGAAATTGTGCCTCAAAATAAAGAATAAAAAGAGGGCTGGGGATATTGTTCAGTGTTACTAGGTCAGCCTAGCATATGTGAGGTTATCACCAGCTGCACAAGAACTTCCTCTAGACTCTGCCCTATGTTGGTTTTGCAAAGTACCTCTTAATTAGAGGTGAATGCTCACTTTTACTTCATTGTTAAAGAGTCAACAGAATGATTTAGTGGTCCAGTCAATGTCTGAATGCACATCTGGGGATTTTTTTTTTCATTTATGTGGGTCTTTGTTGTGTGTATACGTGTGTGTGTGTGTGTGTGTGTGTGTGTGTGTGTACTTATACGTACGTGGAGGCCAAAGGTCAGTGTTGGGTGTCTTCCTCAATTATTCGTCAACTTAATTTTCAAGACGGGGTCTCTCACTGACCTTGGAGTTTATGGATTTTGCTAGGCTGGTTGGTCAGCTAGCTGCAGGAATCTGTCTTTCTCTACTTCCAAGGTGCTGGGATTATAGGTAAGAGTTTCCATACAGATATTTACATGGGTTCTGGGGGTCCATACAGGTTTTCATGTTTGTGTTGCAAGCTCTTTGCTGACTGAGCAATTTCCCCAGTGACCCTCTCCAAACATTCTGATCCACATCAACTTGGAGAAAAAAAAAATGACATGATCTGATGTGACTACAGGCATTTCTCAAACCATTAAATGCTAGCTTAAGATTTCACTGCTTTCTCCTCAGTCCTCCAAGTGTACAAAGCATACACTCATATTGCATTGCCCACTATATTTTCAAAAGTTCATGCATCTACCTTCTCTTCTGGGTTATCTTTTTAAAAAGTCAGTGCTCATCTTTCATCTAGTGAGCCCTTCGTCACCCTTCACTGTCTCCCAGCATATGCTAGGCAGTATGTCAGATGTTTTCTAGGCACCATTTCCTCATGTCATCTTCAGTCTGGAAAGTTAGATATTGTTGTTGCCATTTTATAGGACAGAGAACTGAGATTTAGACAGAGACACATAGAAGATGCTCAGAAAATGTTTGCAGAATGAATTAATCCATTATTTACAGACTAGCCTTGGGAGACACTAAAAGAAGATAGGGAAAAAGCACCTGAAGGCTTAAATCCTGATACATCTGTCACCAACAGTGTGATGACAAGTATATTACAAAAATTTTTTAAGTCCTAGGGTCCTTACCAGCATATTTCTTTAAAACCTGGTCACATGGATTGGTAATTTCAAAGGGAGATGCAAAGTATGCCCCATCACCTCTATTTCTACAGTCACCAAAAATGCTTTGATGATGGGGTTTTTGTTAGATTATTTGTCATATAAACTCTGTCAAATTCAGTTCAATACAAAAACATGCAAAATTCACCATAATATTCTCATAAACTTATCTTACCTTTAAGACTCTTTATTAGGACAGATATGATCAAATCACATGATGTACTTAAACAAAAACATGTTTATGAAGTCCATCTATATGCACAATAAATACATGTCAAAAATATTGTAAAGATTCTCTACTTATTTTAATCAGGTAAAGGCAGATAAGGTCTCTGTTAATAAAGTCATAGTGAGATTGATTGTGCTGTGGTAAAACGTCCAAATTCTCAGAGATGATGGCGGACTGTAGAGAATTTCACAAAAGCAGATCTTGTTCAGTAACCAGAAGATCAAAACAACCAAGGCACTGACCTCCATGTGCTGTCAGAGTTTCAGGTTGTTTGATCTTCTGGTTACTGAATGAGCTCCAGAGAGTCTCATACTAGCAATCCAATGTTCTTCCTCAGGAAAAATACACATCACTTTTGTCCCCATTTCATGGGCCAAACCAAGTAAATCTACTCAATACATACTCTCAATACAAAATCCCTGAAGGGGAGATTAGAAATTTAGTGAACTGTAACAATGTCTACCCTGGGGCCCAAAGAAAGCGAATTTGTGCCAATTTCTATGTCTAATAGGTGCTTAAGAAATACCTTGCTTGTGTTAAAGATCAAGGATGTTATTAAAACAAGATTTTGAAAATTTAAAGGAGAAAGCTGCAAGTAGTTTGATTTTATCTTGTTATTCTTTCTTTTGTATGTGGTGTGCATGTACATATTTGTATATGTATGTCTACCTATATGCTTGTACATATGGAGGCCAAAGGATGGTGTTGGGTATTTGCTTTCTACCTTTTATATTGAGACTAGGTCTCTCACTTGAACCCAGAGCTTTCCAATTAATCTAGTCTAGCTTGTGCTAGTGAACTTGTATTTCAGTGTCCTGAATTGGTGAGCTTATGGATAGGTGACCATGCCCATCTACCTGACATTTATGCTGGTGCTGGGTGTCCAAACTCCAGTCCTCATGCTTGCATGATGAAAACTGTACCCACGGAGACATCTGAGCATCTTATCTTACCCCTTTTTTTTGTCTTTTTGAGAAAGTTTCTCCCTGTAGTCCCAGCTGACCTGGAAGTCACTATTTAGACCAGGCTGGACTCAGTCTCACAGTGATCCACCTATTTCTGTTTCCCAAGTGCTGGATTAAAGGCATGCTCTCCCAAGCCTTTAATAAGGCTTATCTTACCTACTTAAAAAAAGTTTTCTAGTTTTCTTATCATCTTACTGAAGAGAGTGAAGAAATCAATTAGTTTCACTGGATGAGTTTTTCAGCATTCAGAGTAAGAATGACAGTAAAAACTCCCAAAGTTGTAGAAACAGCTTGTGCCTTAATGTAGATATTGTCAAACCTTAATGATATTTAGAGAAAATGTTATCACTTGGACTGATATGGGTCAAATAGAAATGCTTCACATTTGTGTGCTGATTTTCTGTTAGAAAAGTGTTTCAGAAATTCTCTAATTCCATTTTCCTAGTGACCTTTTGAAGTTGGTACAGCAATTGTCTCCCTTATTTTAGAGATGAAGTGACGGGGGTACAAAGAGGTCAATGCCATATTCATGTTTACGACTAATAAAGAGCTCTGTTGGAAACAAAAGTCAAAATCTTTGACATACAGCTCAGTTTTCTATCCAATTCCACCTAATCATGTAACTGGGCAAAACAGCCCATGTGCTGAGATAACTACCCTTCAATACATGGAATGTTGTTGAGATAGCTTCAATTTCCTTATGCTTGCACACAAGCAGTATACCAACTCAGACGCCTACTGTGCAAGACAAGTTGAAATCAATTCAAATGATGTTTACAAACATGGGTCAATCTACTAGTTGATCAGAGATAAATAAAATATGTAACTAGCTTACTGACTCAGGATTCACGCTGACTTTCAGTTCTCCTAAAATGGGCTGGAGCTTCAAATCTGACATTGGTCTTCACTTCCTGGGTCTCGGTGCTTCCATAATAACAGCAAAGGTTAGCCACCTATTTGGATAACTCCTAAGTCAGTTCACAAAGACATGCTCCACAGCTACCTTCCTAAATACAGAGGAAACCTCACAAGGCTTTAAATGAAACCGATGATTTTAAGATGAGTAGATACTGAAATTGTTTGACATAAATCAGGTGGAAGTGCCTTTGAATGAACTAACCTGAGAAGCAATGCTGACAAAAATAAATAAGCCTTCTAGCAACTTTTTGTCAGTTTGGTTGTCATTCACTTTGAAAGCTAGAGGACTCATCTCTTTGTACTGTTTAAACATCATGACAATCTCTATTTACTAAGTGGGAAAAAACATAATTAATTTCTAAGTGCTGCTTCTCATCTTTACGGCACTTTAACCCAGCTTCTCACAGAATTGCCTATGCAAAAGAGGTATACTGTTTGGCAACTGTTTTGTTTCTGAATCTGCAGTTCCCTCCTTTGGAGGTAGTAATGATGATTGTACTTCGTTGAAATATTACAAGAGAGAGGCAAAATCAGGAGCGCAAGCAAATGACAGGGCTAGAATTTACAACCAGAAAGTTCAATGTAGGAGAGACTGCTTTGCTTAAAGATATGAGTTAGTTGCCAGTGTGGGGTCAAACTTGATCACCTGACTTAAACTGATTTACAAAGAAGGCATAGTAATATCTCATGCTGCTTATTACCTGGATAAGAATGAAAGAGGAAGAATGTATTCCAGTAACTGAAATTAAAAATTCAACAGACAAGATGTCATTGTTTTTTAAATGATAAATAAAGCAGCTTCTAGTGAGTCCTAATATAAGCAAACTTGGTTCAAGTCAGGGCTTCTGTCTTTACAATAAAAATCATGGATGACAAGAAGGAACTAGCGTTTGAAACTGTCCAAGGTAAGGCGTGCTTTAACCTCAGCCCTGAGAGATGAGCTGGGTAGCGTTATGTGTACATTAAACTGAAAGTCAAGGTTTCATAAACACCAATCACCTGTGCAAAATCAACAGAGCTTACAGACTGATATTTATTTGGGCTCCAAAAACTCCTACTCTTCTTTCCTTTACACCACGTGCCCATTTAGTACCACAGTGTTTTATGAAGAGAAGTGCAGTTATGTAAATAAAGATGCTTCAAATTGGATGCTATTAGGTCAGAAACTAGTTAACTGATTAATGGAAGAAAATATTTTATAAACCATTTTCTGAATATGATTATTATAGAATTATATCTCTTAAATATCATACCATGAGACAACATAAACTTTCCTTTTCAGTATGGAAGTCATTATTATGCATTGGCAGTATTTCAAAGGATTCATCAGTAATATTAAAGGCTAAGACTTATTTTTGATATTTAAGTTTTCAAAGTTTTAATAAGAATACTTTCTAGAAAATCAGTGTTTATGATCTTGTATTTGAAGCTGCAAACACAGACCTTTTAAAATGTACTTTTCTAGCATACACATGTTTGCTCCAAGATACATGCATGGACATTGGGGAATGGAATTCCAGACCTTACCTGAAGATGGCATCCATCCCCAAGTTGTATGTGATTTGTAGGAGAACTCTCTCCACATTTGCAAACACGGTCATAAAATCTTTTCTACTGATTGGTGTGTTTGTTCTATGGATGGTAAATGACTCTTCTTTGAGTAATAACACCTCAATGTGTTCTTCAGATGGTTCCAAATACACCTCCTTGAAGGCAGTGCTGATTCTCAAGTTATTTCCCTAAAGGGAATACAAGAAAGTATATATAAGTAAGACTGAAAAAATAGGCACAAAATGTATAGAACTCACATGAATCTGATTCTCTGTTCTGTATTATCTTCCTGAGGCTTTAGCTTCATGTTGGCTCTCCCTGTCATTCAGCATATTTCTGGTGTGCATGAAGTGCAGACAACACAACATAAAAAATCAGCCTTCACCAGACCCATTACAAAAAAAATATCTTCTCAGGTTCACATGACCTTGCTTCCTCCATTAAATCAAATAACAGGTACCTGGAAAGTCATATACAAATGTGGTTACAAACATGTTTGTTTTATACAAATATGCAAAAATTATGGGTCTGGAGAGATGGCTCAGCAGTTAAGAGCACTGACTGCTTTTACAGAGGACCCAGGTTTGATTCCCAGCACCCACATGGTGGCTAACAACCATCTGTAACTCCAGTTCCAGGGGGGTATTTGACACCTTCTTTTGTCCTCCCTGAGCATTGAATGACATGGTTGCACTTACACATGTGCAGGCAATACACTCATACATAATATAAAAAAAATAAAAAATAAACAAATATGCAGAAATTATATATTTCCCATAATTTATGGTAGAAGTAAGAATGAGAGGACAAAGGGAGGCACAATTTCATTAACCTATTATTTTGAAGGACTTCTGACTTCCACATATGGAGAAACAAGCAAGGAAAAGATCTGCACACTGATGTTCACAATAGGATAACAGCATCACACTAAGTATCATGTAGGCTGACCTATGACGTTTAAGCCATTCTTTGTAGTTTATCATATTAATGATGTATAACTTCTCAGCCTTTTACACTTAGAGAGATCCTTTCATTTTAAAGGACTTAACAGGATAGACATGTCATTTTATGCTTATATGAAATATAGACCACTTCATCCAGTTTCAAAGATATTCATTCTGAGGGAGGTACACTGTCATTTTGTCACTGATTCATAAGCAAGGAAGATTCAAGACAAACAAAGAGCCTGTTGCTTAACCATGAGCCACAAATGTGCATACATGTGCATGCCTGCAGGTGCATGTGTGTGCCTGTGAGTATGCGTGACTACTGGTGGAAGTATCATCACTGGAATGAAAGGAAGTAAGAAGAGCAGGAAAGGGTTCTGCGTACACCACTGAGGATACCGCATTTTGAAGTAGCTTCTGTCCTTCAATTTCCTGAAAGCACTTGCTCTTCTATCTTTTTTTTTCTAAAGTAAGATTTTTAAAATCAAGATTGAACAACAGTTCAACAAATAAGTTCCCTTTCCCTTTACTTCTGCCTAATATAAAAAATCTATGCAGAAATAATATCATGTGTTATATAAATCAGCATTGACCTAAGCAACTGCATCATTTTTCTAATCCGGAAACATGATCAGGATTTAAATTCAAGTTTCAAATGGTTCTAAGTCTCTTTTTTGAAATCAAGCCCCAATGGTTATTCTTAATTTTCTAAGCACTTCTCACATTAAAACATGGGTGTTGCATAAAATTGCTGAGGTATGTTTCTTTAATCTCATGTAAATCAGTGTCCAACGAACCAGTTTAAAAACAGCATGAGCAACCTCAGTAACAGGTGAGTGGAACATGGTAGAACGGTGACATGCTCAGTATTCTACCTCTAAGATAATCATCAGCTGCAGGATTTTTTCTGTATCTTCTTCCTCTTCTTCAAGGTCATATGAGATGGTAAATGTTAACTGTCCTCCTACGGCAGGGAGCTATAACAGAAGAGAGGCAAAATCATTTCAGCACAGGAAATGAACTACTGAATCATAGTTTACTTATTATTTAAAAATCTTCTTTTTATTCTTCTAGAGGGCAGTATTTGGAAAAAAACTGAAAGACTAGAGTACAGAGTGGAGATGACAGACATTTCTGTAGCAGTGACTTCTATATGAACCTTTGCCCATCAACAGCAAGCTTGACATAAATATAAATTCATGTATTATTTTCTCATTATTATGAAATAGGTCTGATTCCTTCAAACCAACCACAGTCCTTCCTGTCATCTTCTTAGTCTGTAGTTTCAGTTTTATAATTCCCAAATAAGAAGGATCATTGTCAAAACTGGAGAGTTTCTATGCATTCTTAAGGTCAATTACGTTCTGTGGGTCTGAATATATTCAACAAAGACATTCTTCCCTTTGAAAGGCACTTTACATAGACCATAGGGTAAGCTGAGAAATGCTATTGGTCAAATAAATAAAATCAAATGAAAGGTTAGCTGCAAAATTTGCATGCAAATTCCATCAAAACTGCCTAAGAAGGTATGCTTTGCTTGTGTAATCGAATAAGTTTAGTTTGAATGAATGTCATTACCCCCTTTACATTAAGCAAACTTCATTTTGTCTAACATACATTTGATGTTTACATTTTTTGACATTGACGGTAACCTTGTAAAAAATTTTTTTTAATTGGAGCACAAGATCATGTATAGAGCAGAAATTAACACTGGAGCTAGGAGTGACAGATTCAACGCAAATGTGGCAGGTCTTTAAAAATTCCACTCTGACACTGTAAATAACAACGTTCATGAAACAAAGCTGATGATTTTTATTCTGCTGTTGGCTCTGTGCTGACATGCAAAGCCCAGGCCTTGCACCACAGGCTCTCTAGACCCTGACAAGAAAGGATTTCCTGGCAAGGCAGTGGATGGAAGAGGAGGAGCCCTGATCTCTCAGAGTTGTTCCGTGGGGACCACACAGAGCTTGCTATGGCTGATTAAACAGGACTTTAGATTGCAGCTTGGCAATGCTTTATAAGAGCTCATTACGTGGTGCTTTGGAAGGAACTGAGATTCAGAAATCTTTTATTCCCCTGCTCCACTGAGAAATGGTCCTACGGTAATGTTTTCTCATATATAAAATAATACATACCTGCCTGGACTATAATACTTGGCATTATTTGAGTAATGATGGGTGTATCTGTATAAAAAGGATTTGGCTCTACTAAGACAAGCACCCAGAATTTCACATAGCCAGCTTGTTCAAATCAGTTAGGCATTCTCTCAATAAAAGGATAATCTTAAAAGGTGACAGAAAATGATTTTTTTTAATATTTCAAAGAAGACTGAGATATTTAGAATTTTAAATTAATATTCAGCAGGAGGTAGACATTAAAGATTCTACCTTGGAATATGGACAGAGAGGTAATGGGGATTAGGACTGTGACATGGGAATTTTGGGGTGACACAACTGAACTCAGAGCTATATACTAAATGATTATCCAGTAATGTCTCAAATGCTCCACATACCCAAGTTAACCTCATTGTCTCAGCATTTCTAACATCACCATTAGAAAGCGTTTCACTATTTCACATTTGATCATTTTCTCAACTTCCATTATTGGGTGAAGGTAAAGCTTATCAGCCTTATTGTAAGACAATATTACTTTTAGTTTATTAATAACATCAAGCCAGTCCTTTAACTTACTCTCTTGAAGTGCTTCTTGTCTAATTCTCCATTAGCACTAATGTGTCATGCTTGGTAGGCATTCATCTAAGTATCTGAATTCATTTCTCTGACTTTATCCTTCTTGTTGGGGAAGTTTCAATAACTCTTACTTTCTGTTGGGGACATTCCCATAATGAATCTTCCATGTTTAATATCTAAGACACTTTTCAAGTTTCTGTACCTACTAGGATCAATCTGGCTAGCTCTGGTCACAAAATATATGGAAATGTGTCCCAGAGCACCGGCCACAAACATTCAGGTGTTGTGGAAAATGTAAAGATTTATGAAAACACAATAGTATCTAAGTATATACTGGATAGTGAACAAACAACTAGCCCAAGTCACCTTACAATTTTAATATTAGATAGTGCTACATTCGTTTTAAGATATTTAAATTAATTTTTTAAAATTTAATCTGTATGAGGGCATTGCCTGTATGTGTGTAAGTGCACTCTTGCACATTGTCCAAGGAGGACAAAAGAGGACATCATATCCCCTGGAACTGAATTTCTAGATGGTTGTTAGCTGCCATGTGGGTGCTGGGATTCAAGCCTGGGTCTTCTGCAAGAACAGTCAGTGCTCTTAACCTCTGAACCGTCTCTCCAACCTCACATTTAAAATCCTTAGCTATATTTTTTTCAATATGTAATTTACCTGTTCATCTCATTGCTAAGCAAATGGAAATTGTGATTAAAAAGCAAACCCTGGGGTCTAGGGGGAAAGTTCTGTTGGTAAAGTGCTTGCTTGCTATATGAGCATATAGACCTAAGTTTGGATCACCAGAACCCATGTAAAAAGGCAGGCATAGTGGCATATATCTTCATCCCAGTGCTGAAATCCTGAAGCTTATTTGTCAGGCAGCCTAGCTGAGCTAGTGAGTTCCAGGTTCAGCAAGAAATCTTTTCTGAAAAAATAAGATGCAGAACAATTGAGGAAGATGCTGAGTTCTGGTCTCTATATGTATGTGTACTCCACACACGTGCATACATGGATCACATACAAGCACGTACATGCATGCTGCAGTGGTTTGAATGAATGTCCCCCATAGGCTCCAGGTATTTGAACACTTGGTCTACAGTTCATGATACTGTTTGAGGAGGGTCATGGAACCTTTTGGAGGTGTGGTCATGCTGAAGGAAGCACACAGGGGCAGGCTTTGAGAGTATATAGCTTTCCCACTTCTAGTCTGCCTCTCTGTTTCCTGTGACTACTTGAAGATGTGTTTAGCTTTCTGCTCTGGCCACCTTTCCTGCCATGCCTCCCTGCTATGATGGACTGTTACCTTCTGCAACTATAAGCTAAATAAACACTTCCTTCTAGAAGTTGACTTGGTCATGGTGTATGATCATAGCAACAGAAAAGTAATTAATACACACATCAACACACAGACATACAGATCACAGACCCACACGCAGACTCACACACATAGAGCAAGGGTTGCACGCAATTAATGTGAACAGGAGCTGTCCTGGTTTGTTCCTTCATTGCTGTGACAAAACACTCCGACCACTACCAACTTGGGGAAGAAAGGGTTTATTCAGCTTACATCTCCCAGGTCACAGTTCATCAGGAAGCCCAAGGTAGGAACTCAGGACAGGAACCTGGAGGCAGGAGCTGGAGCACAGGACATGGAGGAACGCTGCTTACTGGCTGGCTCCCCTGGCCCCTGCTCAGCCTGCTTTCTTACGCAACACAGGCCCACCTGCTCAGGGATGGCATCACCCACAGTGCGGGCCCTCCCGCATCCCTCATCAAGAAGATGCTCCTCAGACATGGCCACAGGCCAGTCCAATAGAGGCAATTCCCCAGTTGAGGCTCCATCAACTGAGGTGTGTCAAGTTGACACTAAAGCTATCCAGTACAGGAGCTAAGGGTAGTAACATGTGATGACAGATTACTCAGAAGTTTAGGAGATCTACAGGGTCTGCTCTCTGTGTGTGTCCAATCTACATTTATGGGTTCACCCAATATGAAATAAAAAATTCTATGTCTGAACAAAGCATGTACAAGCTTTTTTCCTTGACATTATTTCCTAAATGATACAACTATTTAAGTAGCATTTTTTGTATTAAACAATATAAATAATTTAGAGATGACAAAGTGTACAGGATGAGTGGATACCTTATCTGTAAATACAAAACCATTTTATTGAAGAGTTTTGAGTATCCATGCATTAGGGATTGTGAGGCTCCTGGAACCAATCCCTGTGAACCAAGGGACCATTGTAATACACAGCAGATACCATATTTTACCATTAAGTTAATTGTGGTTATTTACAAAAAAGTAAATTGTAATATGGTCTTTGAACTTATGTGTGTTATCTTTCTAAATGATTGCTAAGGTGGTAAAACATAAATATTTATCAGGTTGTTTTTCCTTGACTCCTTAATAAATAGAACTATTAAATATTTCTGTTAGTCAAGGCAGCATGGTAAAAAAAATAGACAAGAAAGATACTAAAAATGGGTAAGGCTGGGCACTTCTCAGTTATCTACTCTGATATTTATTTAGATTTGCTTAACTAGTTTTCATATTAGAATTTTCCTTGTAGAATCCCCGTAGTTTTCGGATAACTCAAATATTTCCTTTGTTTGCTTGACTGATGTCTCAATAACCAAAACACTAAGGGGAACAAAGGGTTTTAGTAATTCCAAAATATAATAAAGAATTAGTAGAAAACACAAGGCGTAATAGAGCTAACTGGTTCTAGAATAGATACAGTTGAGCCTAAAACTCAGCCATTATCATTCACTGAAGAGCTCAGCAAAGCACTACATTATATTGGTGAGTTATGTGGACTGTGTATAATTCATTATCCGCAATTTGGGGTTTTTCTATAATTCATTTATAAATTCTATTTTGAGTATTTTCAGATTAGTTCATGTGGGGAACGATATTTATTTTCATCATCTTATTAACTCTTGTTTCAGTCTATGTCAAAACAATTACAATATTTACTGGGTGGATTAGACTATACCTATCACATGACAATGTTATAAACCTTTTCAATACAAAGAAAAGGTAAAGTTAATGAGAGTAGGTCATGCTACAAGGTTTCTTGCAGACTTAATTTTCCTTAATAAATATGGAGACAGAAGTAAAAAGCTCTCTGCAGGAACATTTAGGCTCCAAGTGGAGTAGAAGGAGTAAGTAGCAGCATCCTTTTATTCCAGAGGATGGTCCAGGGCTAAAGACTGCATTCTTCAGTCCCCATTAAGAAAAGAGCATTACAGATAGCTGTTTCCCATGAGTATCTGCCTTAATTC